GAATTTTTATCTATCAAACCAAGTATCTTCAGAATGTGCTTAAACGTTTTGATTTCGGAAACTTAAAAGTTGCAATCACACTTATGGCATCAAATACAAAACTTGATATAGATGAGTCAGGAGGAGCAGTTAATGGTAAATTATGCATGGGAATGATTGGGTCACTACTATACCTAACAACAAATAGACCTGATATGATGTATAGTGTATGTGTTTGTGCTCGTTTTCAAAGTTCTCCTAAAGAAAGCCATTTAACTGCTATCAAACGAATTTTAGATATTTGAGTGGAACTTCTAGTCTAGGGTTGTGGTATTCATGTGACTCCAGCCTAGAACTAATAGGATATTCTGATTCGACTATGTCGGGTGCATAGTAGATCGTAAAAGCACATCTGTGACATGTCATTTTCTGGGTACTTCCCTTGTATTCTAGTTTAGTAAGAAACAGAACTCAGTTTCTCTTTCAACCGCTGAAGCGGAATATATAGCAGTTGGATGCTATTGTGCTCAACTTTTATGGATGGAACACCAACTTCGGGATTATGCTCACAACTAGGATCAGTCTCAATCCTATGTGATAACACCAGCACCATTAACATGACCAAAATTGTGTCCAACATATTCGTACAAAACACATTGATGTGTGTTATCATTTTATTAGGGATCTAATTAAAGAATGACAAATTTCCCTTAAATTTGTTCCCACTTCGGGTCAATGGGCATATGGCTTTAAGGAAAATCATTGTTTGCTTGCATTTCTTTTAGAGACCAAATCTGTGGGGCCCACGGATTTTAAGGGTCCAAATTCGTGTACCCCACGGACTTGTAAATCCCATATATCAATGTGGGATTTGTAACATGCCATAAATTCATGATGAGATTTTACTAATACATGATGAAGTTTTAAAATTCCAAGTTTGTCATCACATTTACCTATTATACATTATATATAATCAATTAATTAACAACAAAGAAACAATATAAATATTCAATTAATGTGCAACACATTTCCTTTGACGTTTTCATGGAACGTGTAATTCTTTGTTCCCCGGTTCTAATATATGTTGTTATATGTTACTTTTGAAAAGAATGACAAAGAATTGGTAACCGATATATGTTACGTTAAATGTTAAATAAAATTTTCCCGTTTTTTATTATTGTCCTTGTTTTGTTTACATATCATAAACATGGCAAACACATAGAAAAAGATAGTATGGTAATTTTGGACTTTAAGTTCTAAATCCCAAATCATTAAATTCATTATAAAACATCTCAACAAACAAATGATTGTTACAAATCCATAATGCCTCAAATCATTGATAATCCTTGAGCTTTTAAATTACAAAACCCTCATATTTAAATTCATGAAGCAAACGAGCCCAATGTATCCGCCTGTACATAGGCGTTGGGTCGTGCTTGGGGCAGCACGGCACGGGCACGCTTCGGACCCATTTATTTCGTATCGTGCTTGGCACGACCCGTTATTTTTCGTGTCGTGTCGTGCCAGCCCATTGTTAATTTTGCTAGGCCCATGCACGGTTTGAATCGTGTCATGCCTATTCATGCTCGTGTCGTGCTCATATTCATGTTTAATGAAAAGGAAGAAATTAAAAGAAAGAAGGAACAAATTGAACGGAGAATGAAAGTATTAACATAGAATATTTAAAAAACATAACAAATAAGCGGAAAAGAAAATTAGAAGTATGGCGAGTGTGATTTGACTTTATTTAATACTTTGTCCATTTTTACTTATGGTAGTAATTAGGTATATATATATATATATATATGATCACTTATATAACAGTAAATAATTTGTATTGTACTTGTATTTTGTAATATTTGAACCTATAATCATTTTTATATTTATTTTCTAGCAAATAAATATTCATTTCGTGCCATGTTTGTTACTATATCCAAGAAGGTCTAAAAAAATTAGGCCCGACACGGCCCATTAACATATCGTGTCGTGCCCGTGAACATGAAGTTTAGGCCTAGCACGACTCATAAATTATTCGTACTCGTGCATGACCGACCCATATATTTCGTACCCGTACTCGTGTCGTGCTCTAATTGTGCCATGTCGTGCTAGCCGTGGGCGGCCCGGCCGGTTGCCCACATATAGGGATGGTGGGGTTGGGGGGGGGGGGGAGGTTAGGGCGGGTTTGCCTAAACCATCCCCATCCCCGCTTTCAAATATCTATACCCATACCCATGTGGGAGAAGGTTTTGCAAACTCATCCTCATACCCATGGGTTTCGGGTACCCATGGGTATAATACCCGCCCCGTACATCCAGCATTATAATAGCAAATATTTTACATGTAGATTTTCAATTATAACATTAAACGCACCTACTATATCATGAAGTCGACAAAGAGACAATCATTTTTAATACGATTCAAAGCATCTTATCCTAAAGCATCCATTAATCCTTATAAGAGTAGAGTACAATTTCATCCAAATCATTATTCTCTACTCTCATACATCTATCAAGTAATAATTAACTAACATAATCTTCTTAACAAGGAAAAAAGAAATTAGATTTTGATTTTGATTTGGGTGGCCACTCAATTGTATTTCTACCATATATTTTCTTGAGTTATACTCGCTATTGTTTATAGGTTACAAATTAATTCACATATTTTTTATATATGAAGAATTATATTTGATGGTGTGGGTATGAGTATGAGTATGAGGTGGGAGAGGCTAAAACCATACCCGTCTCATACCCATCAAACTTTTTACGGATTTTACCCATACGCATTCCACACCCAATCAATGTAGAAATTCCTCGCGTTAACAGGGTCGAGAACGATGCAAGACTCATGAACATGGGTTTGATTGTCATCCCTACCCACTAGGGGTGTTCAAACGGTTTGGTTACCATGGTAACCATTTTAACCAGTAGTATTTGGCTAATTTGGTTTGGTTAATTTCGATAATTGGTTTGGTTTAGTTAAAAAATTTAACTTGTTTGGTTTAGGTGGTCTGGTTTGGTTTGAGGCACTCCTAACCAATCAAACCAAATTAACCAGTTAAGTAATTTGCCATATATCTAATATATATTATATACACATACTTAATGCTTTGCATAACCACTCAAGAGTCAAATGTAAGATAATTGTATTTGTTACATGTATTTACGTTAAGGGTTAACTATAATTATGTGGATTGTTATGCGTTGTTCATTATAAATTGCAAATTGATGCACTAACTGAAAAAATTTCTCACTTAATGATAATGTGGTGTTATATTGGTTATTTAGGTTAACCAATTAACCAAACCGAATAAACTTTAGTTTGATTAATTTGGTTGTTGTATTAGTTTGGACGGTTTAGTTATGATATTGTATTCCATGGTTAATAGATTTTAGACTTATTTGGTTTGGTTATTACCATGGTAACCATTTGAACACCCCCTACTAGTACTATCGAGAGGTACTAATTAACGCCCTAATTTTTTAAATTTGTCGCCGTAATTAACATAGAGTGACGTTTTTTCCCTCAAAAGAGTCTCAATTCTAACCAAATTCCAAAAACTCTCGCCCTAAACCTAAATATCAGCCGTCGTCGTAGAAATCATCGTCGCGGCTGACGGAAGGAAAAGAATCCCGCTCTGCTCGTCGCCGGCGGAACTCTCACTGAAATCCTATTCTTCACCTACATCCTAGAAATGATCGCCCTGTCGTGGAATAATCGTCCAATCATCGTCGTCGCCAGGGGCGGAGCTATGTAGGCTCTCGGGGGGGCCCCGACCCCCTCGCGAATTTCGAAACTTACGTATAAAATCCTAGGAACTTTCTAGAACTACGTATAAAATCAACGTTAAATGTATTTAAAACCCGAGTGAGACATTGAATACATAATCTGCTTATAGTCTGCCGGATTTGTAGTCAAATTGCTACCAACAGGTACCACGTTCGAACCTTGTAGGCAGCTGCTTTTTTATGATTTTAACTATTTTAACTTATTTATTTATTTTATTTTCTGTTTAATTCTACCATTTTTCTGTTCTTCAATTTCCCTGCTTAGTCTTATAAATCCTATGATTTCAAATAATGTCAGTCAAGTTATTGAACTTTTACATTAATATTTCATGGATGTGTCTTGGATATGTAATTAAATAATAATTCATACAAACACTAATATAATCATAAATTCATATTCAAGGTATAATAATATTGAAAAAATTACATGTTAAAGTGCATGATCATTTTTTCATAGTATAATAATTTATTTTGAACATCGCATACTAGAATACTTTAAATTAATTCTATTTTGATTATTTTAACTAATGTTTTGTCGTTATAATTTTTTTATAAATATTTTCGCGATTATGTACTAACTAACTCCGACCCCCCCCCCCCCCCCCCCGAACTTTAATTCCTAGCTCAGCCCCTGGTCATCGCCCAGCCGAAATCATCACCGTCGTTCACCTAGAGGGGATTCCTCGCGGCGGCTGCTCCGCTACTTCTTCCACCCTGCTGACGCCGCCAAGGCCCCCACTGTGCCGCTCGGCGCTCGCCCTGAAGATTCCTCGCGCGGATGCTCTACTGCTCGGTCCATCCGTCACCGCCGCGATACCTTCCATTACGTCGATTGAGGGCGCAGATGAGAGAAAAGAATCCTGCCTCGCCTGCTCAGCTCCTGCTAGGCCATGTCTACTCGATGAGCAGATTGAGGGAATGGAAATCATCGTGGGTGAAGGATCTGCCGGTGTCTTCATGAGCTGGATATTCCTTCCGCTGGCGACGAGCAGAGTAAAACTAGGAATTAGGGCGATGGATTGTGGGCGACTGATTAAGGAATTGGGGTAATATCGTCTCTTTAGTTAATTTAGGACGATAATTTTAAAAAACTAGAGCATTAAATAGGAATCCAGGTACTACCCACATACATATTCGCCCCACTCCACCAATTGTCATCACTAATTTAACCAAGTAAAGTAATGGGGAAAAGAAAAGGCCTGAACAGTGAACAGACAGCGGAAACAGCAAAGTCAACTGGAAAGCTAGCTAAGTCTTCCCTTTGTGGCAGCCTTTTAGGATAGTAAACTAAAAGGGTTCTCGCTTACCGTGCTTCGTTTCTTCCTTTCCAGCTGCAAAAAGCCTCCCCGAGCACCAAATGCACACTAATCCCCTTTCAAAGGAAAAGCAAACAATCAATCATCTTCTTCTATCATAAAGAAAGGCCTGTTAAGCCGACCTTCGATTCCTTCCTCCGTCGCAGGAATCCTTTTCTCTCTTGTCGCCCGAATAAAGAATTCCACAGAATTCCTGCCTGCAAATGCTCTTGTTCTCTCCCGTTCCACATCTTTCTTTCTCGGCAATTGTTTATTTTTCTGCCTGATTGCTTGCGTAAGCTAATTAGGAAAGCCGAAGAAGCAGAAACAAACAGCAAAAGAAACATCTTTTCGACCACCCGAAGAACGACTGTTTCAGCGAACTAAAGGAGGAGGAAAGCAACCAAAAGACGTCATTTTGGACTCGTTATTAGATCGGGAAGAGGTAATTCTGATATACCCACATCGTCTTTTTACCCATGTTTGTTTGCCCTGCGCTTTTTCTGCTGCTCTGTCCAGGTCCGGTCAAGGTTTTAGATCCTTTCAACGGTCTCTAGCAGGTTTCAATTTCGTGTCTGTTTTCATTTCTGGTTATCAAGGTTCTTTGTTTCTGATGGGTTTTGCAGGCTGCCGATTTTGGAGAGGTGGGTTTGGTCTGTAATTTGGTTTAGGGGGGTTTATACTGGAGGTGGATGGTTGCAATTTGATCGGGGGCAACTTTGAATTGGTGGTGCGCCCCCGCCCAATTCTCTTGCATCTATGGAGAGATTGTGCTGTTTCAGTTCTTACTCTCAGGTGAAGATTATCTTCCTTCCCTCTGTTTTTTTTTGGTTGTTAAAAATTGAAAATCCACAGTCTTGAGCCCTATAGAAGCTTCAGTTTGTTACTTAGAGTAGAGTAATTGATCACAGCTGATGAATCCAATGACGATTCTGGGAAGATAGTCTGCAAATTTTATGCAGTATAAGTATTGTTGGTTATCTAACCATGGCTTTTTGAAACAAAAACACTCATGTTTTGGATATCCAATACTTGCAGATTGTAGGAGGGCGTTCTTCATCTAGCTCAGGTAGAGGAAAGAACCACGATGGTCTAGTTAAGTATGGTTTCAGCCTGGTAAAAGGGAAAGCGAACCATCCCATGGAAGATTATCATGTTGCTAAGTTTGTTCAGATTGAAGGGCATGAGTTAGGGCTCTTTGCTATTTATGATGGTCATTTGGGAGATGGTGTACCTTCATACTTACAGAAAAATTTGTTCCCGAATATCCTAAAGGAGGTCTGTTGCTATTTTCAAACTCCTTTATGCTAAGTTTAAAACTCTTACAGCTGGAAATTGCACTCTAACACTCGGGGGACTTTGTTTCGTTCCAGGAAGAGTTCTGGGCTTTTCCTGACAGGTCTATCTCTAAAGCATATGAAAGTACAGACCAATATATACTCTCCCAAGGTTCAGGCTTGGGGAGAGGAGGGTCTACAGCTGTTACTGCAATTTTGATAAATGGCCAAAGGTTGTTGGTAGCTAATGTTGGGGACTCGAGAGCAGTCCTTTCAAGAGGAGGTCAAGCAGTACAAATGAGTATAGATCATGAACCTAATACCGAAAGAGACAGCATTGAGGACAGAGGTGGCTTTGTCTCGAACATGCCAGGTCTTTTCACATGTGCCTTTATATCAATACCTCGTTGAACTAATCATTTTTAATTGAACTTACTGAACATTATCAAATGATTTATGACCTTTTATTCTATTGTATCAACTCCAGTCTGCTTAGTGTCTAGAGACTGGAATGGGTTTATGTAACCCAGAGAAGTGGACAAGTATATGGACTTGTCAGTAATGCTGTTATTTAGTTCTGTATGCAATGGATCTGATCTAGACTGAAACAAGGCAACCAAATTCTGAGGTTGCCCCGGTCTTGAAGATAATTTGAACCTGGCCCCCTGAGTTATCAACTCTAGTTATTGCTTCTTCTCCTTCACTCATAATGACACCATAAGCCGTATATTTTTAAGTTATATCCTGCAAATGAAATCTCAGGCTTCTCTTTAAAGTTCTGTGTTTGGGTTATAAAGAACTATGTCTCCCCATGAATGACGACATCTGTAAACTGGAATGATAAATGGTGGCTCATGCCCCATTTTTTTCCGGCAAGTGGTGAAAAAATGCAAGTATACCTTTTTTCTACACTGTTATAAGGTTGAGCTGCTCTCGAAAGACATAGATTCTTCAGTGACTTGTATGATCAAAGGGATCTTTAGTCACATCTGCCAACTGCTGTTTCTCAGTGTTGGAACTTGAATTGTTCTTACCCTGGTGTCTGAGGGCACTAATCTGGAGACGGTTAAAGCAAAAACTTAATTGGCCTTCAACTTGCACAATAAGCTTCTTCTTCTTTTGGGTACGTTTTCAGGAGATGTTCCGAGGGTCAACGGACAGCTGGCAGTTTCTCGCGCTTTTGGAGACAAAAGCCTCAAGTCGCATCTGAGGTCAGATCCAGATGTCCGAGAATCCAGCATAGACAACAGCACAGATATTCTTATCCTTGCCAGTGATGGCCTCTGGAAGGTAAAATGCCCAGGAAGCTTTATGGATTGGTCTGTAATGAATCGTAGGGCATATGTGGTGCAGAATTGCTTTACATCTGTTCTTATTTGTTGATCTTCAATGTTCCTCCAGGTTATGTCTAATCAAGAGGCTGTTGATATGGCAAGAAAGATTAAAGACCCACATAAAGCAGCAAAACAGCTGACAACTGAGGCCCTGGAAAGAGACAGCAAGGACGACATATCTTGTGTCGTCGTTAGATTTATAGGGTGAAGTTTACCTTAACAAAAGCGAATCAATTATCTTCCAGGTATCATCTGCAATACTTCATAATTACTGAAGTGACTCTCTTCTTCACACGAATTTCCAAATCACAAGCTTTTCTTATGTATTCCGTTGGTTTTGGTTGGCGGAAAATGGGTTTTCTCTGTAAATTTCCACCTTGTATTCATACTTAGGTTGGTTCCTGGTGGCTTTGCTATTGTTTGATTTCTTTTTTACATTGAATTTGGGGGTGAGAGAGGAGATTATAGTGTATATTGTCTTTTGTTAAGGCAGCAAAATCATTCCTGTTTCATTGTCGATTCAACCAAGAATTTCTTATGGGTTTGGCTTGCAAGTGGAGATGAACAGTATGTTATGAGCAGCAAGTTGTTCTGATCATGTGATTACAGTCCACATCCTGATTTGGATTGATCTTGTCCCATAGGTAAATTGTTGATGCTTTCTCTTGTCAACCGCTGCCCAACTTGCTTTCGGTTACTTTCCAGTGCAAATATCTAGCAAGTAGCCAAGTATACAGCAAGTCAATCAGCTAGGTTAACAAAACAAATATCTCTTGCATGCTTTATTGCATACCCAGCGACTATTTTGATCAGTTACGGTTCATTTTCATAGCCTTGAATTTAGAAACTTTCATACCAAGTCACAAAACTGACTATGTGATTCAGGTACCTAAATTGCTCTTTACGGAAATCGTTTTAAATGCATAGAATTCCTCATATTTATTCGTGTATCATTGTATCTTCCCGGTGATGCACTGAAAACACGCCATAAACAAATTACTTTATAATCATTGTTTGATCAACCGTTAAGTCTAACTATCAATGAAATATTTGAGAACATCATTGATCGCGCACCGAATGACATTTTTGTCAAATCGTAAACATAGGAATACAAGTGAGACAAATGCTAAACTAGAGTCCCTCTATTCACATTAGACCTCTTCGACTTTTTCGGATAGGTAGACTAGGTACACGACTGGGCCGCGTTGATTTTACCAAAAAAAAAAAACTAAAAAGGGCCCGTGTCCATAACGCCTGGCCCAAGCCCAACTAGCCGGCTAGGGTTCCTGAGCGTCGCCGCAGGGTTAGTTCAGTTCTCCGGCTCTTAATCTTAACTCTATATATACGTATCAGTCGTCCTCCATCCCTAAAATTCATTCATGGTTCATGTTCCTGCTCCATCGATTATCTTTCTCAGAGCCTGAATTCCTCAGCTCTCTCTTTCGTTATTTGTACTTTTGGATTGCTGGTTATGTTTGTCTTCGTTGCCTCCTCTTTCGGCTGCAAGAGTAGATCTGAATTGGATCGATTTCTTGCCAGCTTTGTTCTAGAGGCACAAATCGAAATCCTTCGGTGGGGAATTTTTATGTCAGATTTGGCTCTGCTCCTTCTCTGACTTACCCTGTCTTTGGCACATTATTCATTGCTCATCTTCTCCATTTTTCTCCTCCCGCTGCTTGTATATGTTTATTAGTTGCTTACTTGCTGCTGAGTTTGTGACCACGTACCTGGGCAACATGCGTCCTCTAGGTATCTGGTGAATCAGAAACTTCTCAACCCGTTGGTTGCCATATCTGCTAGCTCACTGATTTTGAATCGAAAACCAGGAACATGATCGAATTGGCTGAATGTAGGTTGGGTTTTTTTTTAATTCGGCTGGGTATGGTCAGTTCTCAATCTCCAGTTCAAGATGAGTTGAGCCGAGCCAATATGGTGATCGCTGACCGGATTTGAATACAGCACCAATCTGCTTGCTTGAGGAAAGCCTTTAATTTACACTCAGCCAAATTCCAAACACCAGTTTCCCACTCCTTCCTAATCCCTAATCCCTAATCCTACTATCCGAGATGACCTAATTTCTTCTCTCAAATTCGTACGACGCTCAAAAGCATTGAGCTTTAATTAACTCTTTAATCAAAAGTATTGAGCTTGTTTGAGAAAATCGAGTTCTGAAGATAATGAAACCAATTGAAAATAACGGAGAGGGCATTGAGCCCAGAGCCAGTCCCAAAACTCAATATTCAAAACTTCAGTCGAGAAGCAGTCCCAAAACTCAACATTCAAAACTTTCATAACAAGGATAGGCCCCAGTAGTTGTGGAGTTGAAAGCTATAATGTACTCATAAGTAGTATAAAAACTTCTATTTGACGTTAAGTTTTTAACTAAATTGTTCTGCTTAACTCTCTTTGTATAAAAACTTCTATTTGAAGAGGAAACTCACCACTGATGGAACCTGCCGCCACTGCAAGGACGTGGACGAAACTATGGAGCACATCATCAGAAGGTGCAGCAAGACTAGGAACATTTGGGAGAAGTTCAGATCCATAATTACGTCTGCCTTTCACTACTTGGATGACACGCAATCTCAACAATGCTGTCCATGGAGTGGAGTTCGGTCTGATTGTGTGGCACCTCTGGAAACAGAGAAACGAAGAATGCATGGATGGCAAAGTTTATGTTGAGAAATCTCTTCTTTGCAGGATCGATGCTTGGTTCAAAATTTATAAGATAGCTCACCAGAATGTGGAAAAGAGGCTTATACCTCCCATCGTGCGAAGAGAAGAACATATTGGATGGAAGCCCCCCCCCCCCCCCCCCCCCCCCCCCCCCCCGAGGGATGGGTACAAATCCAAACTAATGGGTCTGTCCTCTCTCTCTCAGGAAGTGCAGCCGCTGGAGGGCTCATCCGCGATTGCCTAGGAAGATGTCTTGTGGCTTTTGCAGGTAATCTTGGGACCTGCTCGATCACTGCAGCAGAACTTAAAGGAGCAGTGGTGGGACTTCAGATGGCCTGGGACAGAGGTCACCGTAAAGTTCAGCTGAAACTTGACTCTGCTACGGCGGTGGCCATCATCAAGAACTGCGCAGATGATGAGCACAGACATGGTCTCCTTGCGCAGCATGCTTTCAATCTTTTGAGTCGTGATTGGGACGTTGTGGTCTCTCACGTGTATAGGGAAGGAAATAGAACAGCTGACTATCTTGCTAGTCTTGGCCATAGCTTACCTTTTGGAACACATCATGTTGATGTGTGTAGCCCTGATCTTTGTAGGTGGTTAGATTATGATGTTATGGGAATTTCCCAACCTCGTCTTATTAATACATGATCTAGACGTCTTTGACGTCTGTCTTTCTACCCAAAAAAAAGAAGGGAGTATAATTCGGTTATTTTAGGTGACTTTAATGTTGATAGTTATGATTATGAAAAAGAGGAGAGATGCCCCTTAGGTACGAGAATGTAAAATCTTTTAAGAGGTTCATCTTCCACAACACCCTCATCGACAAAGAATTTAAAGGTGAATCATTCACTTGGTCGAATAAAAGAAATGGTTAGACGAGGAGGAATGTCAAAGTATTGTATCCCGGCATATGACTAAGGTGGTACATCTTCTTACCAACTCATTAGGTGAGAGGGATTTGAAAGCTGATCAAGAAATTTCCACACTATGAGCTCCCAAAGAGAAAATGCTATAGTTTAATGGTAGTTAGGATGGTACAGTACCCTAGAGGCACTATTTATATTCTCTTTTTCACGTAGAAGAGTCTCATACCTAACCGCATATGACATCAACTGGAATAAATCAGAGAACTCCATATCTTGAATTTTTTTACGAAGTTCAAAGTTTAAACCACCTTGTGCTAGCTTGACAAATCAACCATGGTTACTTCTGGTTCAGACCGATAAAATTGCACATGAAACATTTGTTCCATTTGTTGGCAAGTCTACACTGAATTAGATGGCAGACTGGCGTACCATGCAAAAGAAGGTCCCATCAAAGAGTTTCCAAAGAAACGTAACTTGACAAAATCATCTACATCACCATATTGGACAGTGAAACGTCCAACATTCTCCACTGTGGATTGATCACCTGTTTCAGTAAAGAGTATAAACTCTGGTAACCTAAAACCTCCGGGGAACGGATGCATTCTATCCACCCACTTCGGATACGGCTTCCGATAGACCGGTGACATCGTTGGTCTCATAGCAAAACCAAATTGTTCAACCAAAAATTGTAACATCTAATAACGGAGTGCATTCACATTGGGGCCCCCTTGTTGTCACCCAAGCGGTATGAATCCACCAGGATACATGCCTTGCATGTTCACAGTGGGTAGGATTTGTTGCGGGTACGCACGTGGTTGTATAGGTTCAACATTTTTTTGATCCAAGCTCATCCCAACATTAACATGAGCCATGTATGGTCTGGCTTCTGGAATGTTTTGTTGAGCAATACCGCGCACAAGTGGTGGTTGCTCAACATGGACCTGAGATGAAGTGATGTGACTCTCGCCAACATTCACCCTCTGAGATGTTGGCACGTTGGTTGTCGCCGGTGTAGGGTTTCTTGGTTGTGGCCTGTCACCTCGACCACCACCGCTGGATGGTAGGTTAACATTTTCACTTTCAAGATTTAGAAAGTCTCGACCATCCGAAGACAAAGCCCTAGTTTGTAAAACTAGCAAGTTCAACGATTGCCTAACCTCACCCAAATAATTCATATTTTTGTTTACCATCTCAAATAATTGAGCAAATCGTCTATCAAGACGTGAGCTAAAACCATCAATGCGCTCATCCAAAGAAGTAAGATGAAGGGTTACCTGCTGGTAGTTTTTGTTCATCCCAACCACCAGTTGGCGAGTCTCGTCCACATTTGGCAAACTGATGGTGCTGCTTCACTTGGATCTGCATTAGGCATCATGGGTGGCACCTCTGCTCCAGCATTGTTTCCTCTTGCTTGGTCAACGTCAACGTTGACCAACCGCTCCTCCTCCACGAAACCTTGTGGAGGATCACCATCCTGAATCCTTCGTCGCGGAGCCATATCAAACACAAGTTTTCTCATCAGGTGTGTCAATTTGTTTTTGGTGGAATTTCGCGTCAATGCACCCCGACTTCAAGAAAACAGAAAACGATGTTACTCGATTCACACCTCTTCAAACACTGTTCGAACGGGGGTGTTCGATGCATACATCAAAGGATCTACTTACTGTTACCTCTACTCCTGTGGAGATTCCTTGAGAGCACCGTAACTACTGACTATGACTATAGAGAAGCCTCGCAAAGGGTCACTGTTGCTACTGGTACGTCTACGATTCTAGAGAGAGAAAAATAAAAAGTTGACGAGACTTGTTGTGATTTGATTTGTCTGTCCTTCCATCAGAAGCTTGTTGCCCATTTTGTTGTGCCTCACCCTCTAACCACTTTCTCTCTTCCCAAAAATTAGCTCCAGTTAGCATCCACTAACTTCTCTCCGAGCGTCCTTTGGAAGTCAGTTGATGCTTCCAGTAACCGCCTTTGACGCGTCATCATGTCACTAGACAATAGTGACAATCAACCCTGCGTACCAATGATGAACAATCCACGGATGGTAACCATACTAGATGGTCATCATACTATAACATGGATGACACCATCAATTTAATAGTTGAGATAGTATCCATAATATGATATGATACCATCCTTTGGGGTTGGACAGTATCCATGTTATTGGAGGACACCATCCACTTTGAGTTCGGATGGTGTCCATTATATTTGGGATGATATCCATGATGTTTAGGATGGTACCATCCACCATAGGGTTGGATGGTATCCATAATGTTTGACACTACTATACATTTATAGGTTGGATGGTATCCATGATGAATGGGATGATACCATCCACTATAAGGTTGGGATGGTATCCAAGATATTTAGGGCGGTATCATCCATAATAGGGTTGGATGGTTTCCATTGTGTTTGGGATGGTATAATCCATAATAGGGTTTTGATGGTATCTATTATGATGGATGGATGGTAATAGTGACCATAGTTAGTACAGTCAACATCTTGAATGGTTAGCTTAGAACAAACTACTTAAAGTGTCTCAATTATCCATAAATACTATATATGATAATTAATAAATTTATTTTGGTGTAAACACACATTACGGATTGGGTTGGTTTGCCAGGTGACCCTCCAATGCGCATCTTCATATGTATTTAGGGAACTAATTTGTGGAGCGAGAGAACATTTATTTCTCATGAATTTCATATAGTGAGTAACAAAATCATCATTATTATATTTTTTTTATAAAATGTATATTTATCATAAGCGATTAAAATATAATTATCATCATGTCAAGTTTTTTGTTGAGACTAAAAAAAGATTAACCTTTATTCATTAGCTTTCATAATAATTAATCATATCAACAAAGTAATATAGAGTATATCACTTATTTATACACACACTTGTTCAATTTTCCTTTATCACCTGCAGCTTTCCGCCATTCCAATCTCTATCGAATCTGCATCAAAAGTTTGCATATTTCTAATGGGTAAATTTCCATTTCAAATCCCATCATTTGGTCTCGAGGTTCCCTAGTTTTGGCCAAATAGATGAATCAAAGATCTTGACACCATGATTTGAAATGGCGGACAAATGTAGTTTCAATGGTTTATAGTTGTTTGGTTTGTTCTCAATAATTCGAGTTGTTGGGAAAATGTTATTTTGGATTTTATATCACTCTCTAACATGCCCCTCAAAAGAAAGTCAACCCATGGGCTTGAAGTTTGCACAGACCCACCATACCTTGTGCTTTTATTAATTGTTAATATTGGGCGTCGAGGAGATTCAAACACACGACCACTTGGCCAAACTAGCTTTGATATTACAAATCAGTTGGTTCCAATAATTTGAATTGTTTAAAGAAGATTATGTTGAATTTTATACCACTCTCTAACAACATGCTTTTCAGATCTCATTGACGTGAATTGTGGAAATCTTGTGCTTCAATAGTCACAGGATCTTCATATCTCATTAATGGTGACTTGAGATTGGGAATGTTTGAAGTTTCAGTATATCATGTATTTCTTTCTCAAATCAAACGACATCATCTACTCAATTTCTCCACTCTCAACTTAAATGCTCGAGTCATGGTTGTCTCATTGCCTACTGGTTGCTGACAATCTCCTTGCTCCGGCCACCCATCTTTTCAGAAGGTTGTTTGAATTTAATTGTTTTGATACTTTATTGTATAAATCGCACTTTTTGAAGAGTGTGGTATAAGATTCAGCATAAAATTTTCCTAATAATTCGAGTTATTGAGACCAACTGATTTATAAAATGGTATCAGAGCAGGTTTGGTCAAATGGTCGATCGTGTGTTCGAATCTCCACAACCCCCAATATTAACAGTTAATTAAAATACAAGGTATGGTGTGCATGTGCAAACTTTAAAACCATGAGTTGGTTTTCGTTTGAGGGGCGTGTAAGAGTGTAGTTTAAGAAAACCAAATAAGAGACAATAATTGTTTTCACCCCAAATTATAGAACAGCCTCCATTGAATCCCCCTTCCAAATAATAGCATACTTTAACAAAACTTATGACCAAGGTAAAAGTTGTTATTCCTTTCAATTTTCTCCCCTTTTTTTTCTTTCTCCTTACCTTCTATTATTTCTCAGGTAAATTGCAAGGTTGGTCACTGAGATTACTAAAAACGTTCAAATTTTATCACTAAAAATATTTAATTCCATTATTAGTCACTAGGTTTAGTAAGACATGTCATATTTGGTCACTCTCCATCTAACTCTGTTGATTCTGTTTTTTTTTTTTTATAGACTGTTGATTCTGTCTGATGTGGTAGTCAACTCTCAAAGTTGACCGTTACACGTATGACGTGACAATTAAAAAATTAAAAATAAATAAATTTCCACCTCATTATTATTATTAAAAAATTATATTTTAATTCTCTAAATCTGACCCGAGATTTCTAGCTTTCACAAATCCCAAATCCTGGGTCGCAACGAAGGGGAAGGGATGGTTGCGCCAGAGCAGTGGTGACACAGAGATTGAAGGTGTGAGGAAAGAAGAGGCAAGGTGGAGCTCTCAACTGTAAGCCGGCAACCCGCTACCCGTGCCACCGGGTTGGGTCAGAGCGTTGACGACGGTGGGTGGGCTAATAGCAATCCACAGAAGAGAGAGCAAGATCGCTATAAAGCCAGACCACACAAACACAAAGGTGGGAGCCTTCCCTCTCCTCCCCATCAGCCCTTCGTACAGGTGAGCCTCCTTACTACTTCAATCGTTGTGTCATTGCTGCTCCGGCGCAACCAACCCTCTATCAGTCTA